TTAATCAAAATCAAATTGATAAAGAAAGATTAAATTTGCATTTTGAATAAATAATGAATGTTAACAAGAATTACATCAATCAAATTAATTCATCAAAATATATATAACTAAAATTTAATACTAAAATATTGTTATTTAAAGGTCACTACTCAAAGCTGATGGGCAATCTATTTTTTTTCTTTTAACTAAACACAATTATAAGTTTCCCTAATCGGCTAATCCTATTCAATTGAGAGCGACTAAGGATATCTAATTATAAAATAACTCATTCATTCTTAATTTTACTAATAAATGTTTTAAGAATAAATCATTCCTAATTTAAATAATCAATGTTTTAAGAATAAGCACAAATATTAAGGTTCAAATCTTATTAATAACACATGGGTCAAAGTGTTGGGCTAAAAGCCTCCAATCCAATCACACCAACAGAAGTGAAATCAAATAATAAATCAAACACACAAGAGACAATAATTTAACGTGGTTCGGTCCAACTGACCTACATCCACAGATGAGAAACAAGATCCACTAGTTGTAGAGAATTATAAACTTACATCAAATCATCAACCTCACTCAACAATCAATACTCATAAGACACTCTCAATCTCCTCTAGTCCTATAGAGTATTCTCAACCCAAACAAACACAAACTCAAACCCTTGTGCACCCTTTCAACATAACTAAACACATACCCATATGCTCCCATACACCATACCTATGTGGACCCTTTCAATCTCTTCTAGTCCACTCACAAACAAACATACACACCCATAAGACGTAGAGCCCCAATACTCCTATGGGGTGTCTATCCCACAAAACCCTACAACTCTCTTACATCTTTTTCTCATACCTAACCCTGTAGAGACTTCACCTATTTATAACCATACAAACTTGCCCATTAAGAATCCCTCTCCTCTTAGAATTCTTCTCCTGTAAGTCAAACTTGCCTATTAAGAATCCCTTTCCTTTTAGAATTCTTCTCTTGCAAGTCAAACTTACCTATTAAGAATCCTCTTTCTCTTGAAATTCTTCTTTTGTAAGTCTTCTTGTCCATCAAGCAATATCTAACAAATCCCAAACAAATCTCTAACAAATCCCAAACAAATCTCTTATGAGATTTGAGTCATTATTACCAACACAAAGTATGTCAAAATTGATTTAATTGCTCTGGTTATTATCAATAACCAGGTTAATTCTAAAACTTGAAAAAAAAATTATGATTTTAACCAAATTTAAATATGTCATTTGCTTTACCAATAAAAAAAATCGAAGAAAATTGTCTTAGTGGCAAAAAAGATGTCTTGTCGTTTTAGAATCTTTAGATCTCAAAATATATTCCATCAACTTTTTTATTGATTTTGTTTGGTTTGTTTAATATTTTTTTATCATAAAATGTATTAGTTAGTATGTATTTAAAATTATTTGGTCTTTTAAAATATGTATATATGGTTTTATTTTTAACTTTTATACCATGTAGCATGCAACTTCATAAAAAAAAAAAAACAAATAGATAGAATTGATTTAAACGTTATACTCATAAATAAGTAAAAGAAATAAGTGAATATAAACTTAATTAGAATCAATAAGCACCAATTAACATTTCTCATATATATAATATGTATAAATATATATTGTATGATTTTTTTAATGTTTAAATAATTTACCCAATTAATAAGTTCTTTTTAACTTGTGATACAAACTTCTATTTAAAGACATTTATTAGTATAGAACATAGATAATAACAAATTGAAATCTCAAAATGTTGAGTGTTGAAAATATCATAAGGTGTTATTTGAAAAGAATATATTCTATAAGGGCGTAAGTATAATTTAGTCATTTTATTTGGGACAAAAATTTAAAGAAAAAAGAAAAAATCTTGTGTGACTTGGAAGAGGTAACATGGGTCCAACATAACCTAAGTTAACCAAAATTACTTATAATGCGTTTGATTTAGAGAAATTTACAAATTTTCTCTCGAAATCTTAATGATAGGTATTTTATTTTTCATGTTTGGTTCAAGATAATCTGATTACATAAGAAAATATAATATTTTTAACAGTATCAAAAGTTTCGAAATTAGAAATCAACTTCTCCCTGTGATATTATAAGATTTCAGAAAAAAAATTATCTTATTTTCAAATTTAACCTAAATAAAAATTTGATCACATGTCCGTCATCCTTTTGAAAAGTAAGTCTGAAATTCAAGTGTAGCTTTTTTTTAAAAAAAAAAATTGCTTTATTTTTAATTTAATATGTGACAATTAAAGTGTTTTAAGGAAGAAACGTATAAATTGATCATTAATTAAGGTATTTTTTTTCAAATCCCTTATTTGTCCAATTATTAATTAAGTCATTTTAAGGAAAAAAAATGCTTTAATTATCACATATTAAATTTTGTTTTCAGTCTCGAAGATCATGTTATAACATGATTGATTTTCAATCATAGTTTGATAAAAATTTAAGTGATTATTAATTAAAGTGTTTTAATAAAAAAAATGACTTAATTGATTATTAATTAAGGCATTTCTTCTTTCAAATGTTTTAATTTCCATATATTAAAATTTTGTTTTCCGTCTTGTAGATCGTATTTTAATAATATGAACATTGTAAGGTCTAATTGACTTTAGAAGAACCTATATTTTATACATTTAATAAGGTTTTTCTATGTAAAACACCTTAATTGATGTCTTCATTATGTTTCAATAACTAATATGTTTCTAATTTTTATTTCAACATATCTAAGCTCAAAGTAAATACTTTTCTATTTGAAGCAACTTCAGCTTCAACATCTATTATTTAATCTTTGCTTTGTTAAATTTATCTTTGTTTTCTTTTTTTAAAAAAGGTATGTATACTATCTGATGCCTAATTATCTTATTTGCATTACTTGTTGTGGTTTTAACAATAAATGCCATATTTGATAAAAATTTCCAACCAATTATGGTGTTCACTCCCTAAAATGCCTAAATTGACTTGAACAAATAAGGCATTCAACCCTAGAAATGCATTAATTGATTATGAAAAAAAATAAAAAAGATGATCCATTAAGGCGTTCATAAACACAAATGCCTTAATTGATTTATTTTATAAATTATAAAAAAGAATAAATTAAAACGTTCATAATGAAAAACACCTTAATTAATATAGTATTTATATATGAATCGTTTTAGATCAATTAAGGCATTCATAATAAAAAATATCTTAATTTATCATGTTTTATAAATAAACAAATTTCAATTAAGGCGTTCACCTAAATAAATGCCTCAATTGATGCTATATTCAAAACATTAAGGAAATGTATCAATTAAAGCATTTAAAATAACAAACAACTTAATTAATAATATTTTAAATAATATAAAGTTGTCAATTAAGGCATTTATGTTAATAAATGCCTTATTTGATGATGTTATATAAATTATAAAACTAATAATTAAGATGATTATATTAACAAATATCTTAATTGATGATATTTTATAAATTAAAACAACAATCAATTAATATATATATATATATATAGATTTGTTGTTAAAGACACATTTATCATTTGAATATTTATTATTAATAAAATAAAATAAAAGATTATAAAAAAATGTTATTAAAAAGTTTATAATAATTATACAAAAATTAATAAACGTAAATTTTTTTCAATCAGACGAATTAATCTAAATACAAAATATTTTAAAAATCAAATAAAAATTTTACTTTTTTGAGTATTACATTTTTTTTTTCTAAAATTCAATATTCTTCTAATCAAACGGATCTTTTCACATTTTTATTGAAACTACGTGTCGTTTAAGATTGTAAAGGACACGTGTTGGTCATGGGGTGGCTCGTGAAAGGCAATGACGTAGTTGACACTAATGGTTTTAGATTTCTTTTTTTTTGCTTGAAATACCTTTGAAAAAAAAAAAAAGAAGATTGGAAGAACCTTGGCCGTTGATAACCTAAGAAAGATCTTTTGAAGACAATAATTTTGTAAAGTTTTAAATAGAAATTAAAATTTCATAAAAAATATTAATGTAATTAAGCAACAAAGTAATAGTAATAAAAAATAATTTAATATATGATAAATTATAAAATAATCCATACAGGAGAAATTGTTATATATAGATGCATTGAGTGTATTTTATTTTCAAACAAACAAATTATTATTTTTATGCGGTCAGAGGGATTGGTGGATTACCTTTTGCTAGGGCTCCAAAGAAGGTTAAACAAATATATATGTTTTATATATTTTAATTGATATAATTAATTAATTTTTTTCAAATTTTATTTTAATAAAATAAAATGTAAGATAAAATATGAAATTAGTTTTTAAATATTCTATTTAAAAATCAATATATTTATATCTTTATTAAAAAATTGACTTTGAATCTTCTTCTTTTAAAAGTTATAAAATAATAAAATTAAAAATGAATATAATTTTCATGGATTCTATATTTTTATATTTCAAAAGCTTTATTATTATTATTATTATTATTATTATTATTATTTGCTAAAGAACACACAAGTAACCATCTAAAAATTCATAATTTTAACTGCCATGAAATTCTTTTATAACCCATAAGAAATTACACACAATGACGATCTGAGATTCGAAAATAACATACTATTTGGGTTCAATTTTATTTTATTTAATTCAATTAAGTATATTATTTTTATGCTCTTATTTTTTAAATTATCAAAATAATAATATAAATAAAATATCTTTAATAAAATATATAGTTTATTAAAATAACATATAAGAATAAAAATAAAAAACAATTATAACATTTACATTATAATTAATTAATATAATTATATATTATATTTTTATCATCACAAAATTAATAATTGAATGATATTTAATTCATTGTATTTGATTAAATGCATATTTGTTAGCAACATTTTTATTTTAGTTTTTATTTAATAAAAATGTTTTAATCTCATATTTGTTAGTGCTTTAATTTATTTTTTAATTAAGTTTTGATTTTTTTTATTGTTTTTGTGATTTTTGGAATCTTGTTAAAATTTTTTCTTTGCCATTTAAAAAGAAAACTTAAAGAAGGCTTAATCCACAAAAATCGAATTTAATATATTGTTATAGATCGGAGTGTTGAAGAAGAATCGGAGCTTTGCATTTGTTTGGTGAATATGATGATGATGAGGTGTTGGAAAATCGCTTCTCTTCCTTCTTCTTCCGCCATTGATCTTCTTCAACGTTTGGAATTGGGTAACCCCAAATCTCTGAATTCTCTTCCCTTCCCTTTCTTCAATTGTTTTTATGCTTTAAATAAGGAAAGCCCTCTCTTTTATTGTCAAAACTCTTACTTCTCTACCACCCCCTCCAAGAAATCCAAGTATGTGTTTGATAAAATTGATGATGCCTTGGCTTTGTTCAATCACATGCTTCGTACCCATCCCTACCATTGTATTGTTGAATTTGGTAAATTATTATCAGCCATTGTTAGAATGAGGCATTATGAAATTGCTATTTCTCTGTGGAGACAAATGGAATTACTAGAAATTCATCACAATGTTTATACTCTCAACATCTTGGTTAATTGTTTTTGCCGCTTGCATCGTATGGATTTTGGGTTTTCTGTTTTGGGGAAAATGTTGAAGCTGGGCATTGAACCTGATGTTATAACATTTTCCACTTTAATCAATGGCCTCTGCATTGGAGGTAATGTAGCTCAAGCTGTGAGGTTGTTTGATGACGTTTTTGTTCGAGAAGGGTGTCAGCCTACCTTATTTACCTATAATACGATAGTGAATGGTCTTTGTAAAATAGGTGAAACTACTCGTGCTGTTAGACTGCTAAGGACTATTGAAGAAAGAGGCTGTGCACCGAACACTATAACATACAACATCATAATCGACAGCCTTTGTAAGGACAATCATGTAACTGAGGCTTTGAAGCTTTTCTCTGAAATGAGCGGTAAAGGAATTCCACCTGATGTTGTCTCTTATAATTGTTTAATTCATGCCATGTGTAATTCATGTCAATGGAAAGAAGCTACAACATTATTCAATGAAATGGTGGCTGCCAATTGCAAACCCGATGTAATCACTTATAGTGTTGTGGTTGATGCACTTTGTAAAGAGGGCAGGGTGTTAGAGGCTCAAGATATTCTTGAGAGAATGATTCAACAAGGAATTGAGCCTAATATAGTTACATATAATTCATTGATGGATGGATATTGTTTACGAGGTGAAATGGACGAGGCTAGAAAAGTATTCAATTCGATAACCAATAAGGGTTGCACACCTGATGTATTTAGTTACAATATCATTATTAATGGATATTGTAAAGCTAAAAGGATAGATGAGGCAGTGAAACTTTTTCATGAAATGACTCAAAATGGATTAATCCCTAATGTTGTTACTTTCAGCACTCTTATTAACGGCATGTCACAAATTGGGAGACTTGCTGTTGCACAAGAAATTTTCAAAGAAATGTATGCTTATGGTCTAGTACCAAACACAATCGCTTACTCTTCCTTGTTGTATGGCTTATGCAGGCATGGTCATATTAATGAGGCATTGGGATTTTTTCGTGCAATGCAGAGCAGTGGGTTAGAACCTAATATTGTCCACTATAATATCTTAATTGATGGCTTGTGTCTAGTTGGCCAACTTAAAGTTGCTAGGAAATTATTTTATGCACTCACAGTCAAAGGGGTACACCCTAGTGTTTACACATATAGTACAATGATCAAAGGACTTTGTAAAGAAGGGCTGCTGAATGAAGCATATGAATTGTTTAGGAAAATGGAAGTGGATGGTTGCATGCGAAATAGTTGCTCTTATAATACCATGATCCGAGGATGTTTTCACAACAATGACATATCGCGGGCAATACAAATTCTTCATGAAATGGTTCAGAAAGGATTTTCTGCAGATGTATCCACAGTAGCCATGGTAGTGGATATATTGTCTAGTGATTCAACAGGTGAATCTTTTCGTGCATTAGTTCAGAAATTGTGAATGCTATCAAAGTGTTAATATGGAATAATCTCCTCTCAATCAACATTGCTGCAATAAATCTAGACATGATTTATAATGTGTACCTGCTAGTAAATATTCTAAGCAGTCCCAAACTGGATAGTTCAGATTCATAAAGTTAAACCACCAAATAATGGTGGGGAGAGTTTCTGCTTCCAACTGTTGGCGGATCTTGAAATGGATATGGTAGAAGTAATTGTGCTTGAGTCTTGGAATCATAGATTTTTAGCTGTAGCAACAAATGATATTTATTGATGCACCTTTTCTTTCGTCCTGAATTAGTAAATTGTTATTGTTGTATTCTAATTACATTTCATTTTGAAATAGAGTTTTAAGGATGGTGAGAATTGGAGGTGGAGAATTCCCTGTAATCAAGGAATCTGATTACCTTGTTAATGGCGAATTTTGTGTTGACAAAGATGCATCTCCTAAAATGTTGAATTGCCTCCTGCAAGTTTTTTTTTTTTGTTAAATGTAATTTTCATTAGATCACAAATGATGGGAGGGCATTCCTCTACCCAATAACATCTAATAGGACTCCTCAAAGAAAGTGCATATTTTGCAAGTCTGTGTGCTGCTCGTGTAAACAGCTTTGAACTGGTGGAATTCATAACTGACTAGCTCGGCATCGTTTATCAGAGAAAAGTTTTGAGCTTCTGAGTTTAGCTGATTAATAATGCTTAGTGCATCTCCCTCAATAATTACAGACTTGAATCCCATATCCTTTGTGACTACAATGGCCTTAATTGCCGCTAAAGCTCTGCAGTTATAGATCTCTGACTCGTTTTTCTGTAGTTGAGCATGTCCCTAAGACAAATCCAGTTTCATCCCTGATCACCACACAATTCCGGATAAACCTTCCTCGGGTGCTTTCCATCTACCTACCTATCCATAGAGTTAATTGTAATGCTTACCTTGGCCCTTTTATAGTCTTCCAGATATTTGGCAGTAAAGGCAGCTGTTTCCTCTGCTTTCCTGCTCACGTTGCTCTTACCTGCTAGGTTCCGGCTACGCCAAATCGCCAAACCAGCTACCAATCCAACTTGATACATTGGACAGCCATCCCTTTTCCGCTTCATGTTCGCACATTTCCAGGCATCATCCACATTGACAGCATTCCCATACTTACCTTGCTAGATTAGAGCCTGAGGCATGCATCACTGTTTCTTCCTGTTGACCTTGTTGACCACATGTTGGATACATCATTTGAGCTTAAATTTTCGATTTCCTGAGGTCGCTAAAAACAGGTAGAATTCCATTCTTTAATCTCCAACCAAACACTTTAGTTTTGTTTGGAACATCCGCCCTCCATATCTTGTGTCAAAACTTGTTGTCTGCTTGTCCATCTTCCTTTTCCATTGCAGTTGTAACAGCAGAATATGATATCCCGAGCCATCCAGATGCTTCCCCATGTGAATGATGGATTTGTGCCTTAAAAATGGAGATAGGAAAACCAATGAGTTTGGTTTTTCAACAAGGGCCTCATGTATAGGGGTGTTCATAATTTGGTTTTAATCAAATTAACAGATTAAATTGATTTATTTTAGTTGATCGGTCAACCATTGAATTAATTTTGGTCGATTAACAAAAATGATTTTAGAAAAATTTTGATTTTTGGTTAATTTGATTCGAAAATCGGATTAACCGAAATATAACATAATTCAAATATAAAATAAAAAAATATATAAAATAAATTACTTAATTTCATAACTTGTTAGAGTTTTTAATATTATTCTTTAGTATTTGAATATTTTATTGAATAATTTTTACTTAGTTTGTTTAAATATGAGAAATTAAGAGTTTAAAATATAATTTAACTTAAATGTATTTATTATTTGGTTAACCAAAAATATTAACCGAACCGACCAAATTAACGAAATTCGATCGTTTTATTTTTGAAATTCATAAATTTGATTCGGTTAACGAAAATAAAATAAAATAATTCAGTTAATTCAATTTTAGATAATTTGATTCGAAATTAACTGATCCAACTGAATGAATACCCCTACTGGTGTAAATTATTTTAGGCATATTTAATAATACAATGTTATTATAAATAATAATTTAATTAATCTTAAAAATTATTTTAACACCCTTGAGTAAAAGCCTTTATTATTACTTATAATAAAATTTTAAAAGCAATTAAAAAGTTGAGCTGTGTGAATTTATAAATGGGGAATGCTATAAAGTATAAAGGAAAGAAATGGACTGCAATAGGATTAACCAAAAAAAAAAGTAGAAGAGAGACGTAGCAAATATTCAAATCTTAAATTAAAATGAATAAATAAATGCCCCATGAATGAAATAAATTTTTTATAAATATAACAAAATTGAAAAGCATGAAATTAAAGGCAGCAACTGAATCTAAGCAAGTAAACACATGAATTAAGAAGTACAAAGTGAAAAAAGATTGGATCGATTGCCTAGTTAGGAGAGGAGAGTCTTCAAGAGCTGTTATTCACTTGTTCATTCAACTCTGCTACTAGATCCAATCGAATATTTTTTGGTTTTTCTAGAATTTTGTAGATTCAGTTTAAATGTGATTTTTCTAGATTTAAAGAAACATAATCTGAGAATGCATAAAAAAAATTTGGATTGAAATTTATAAGATTTGAATGAGATCCAATGCAAAAACCAACAACTAGCTCAATTGAAAAATCAACCAAACAGATTTGAGATCAAACAAAACATGAAACTGAACAAGAAATATAAAAGAACTTGAACTTTTATTGATTGAATCTTAAAGTGCATGTAAAATAAATGCAAGAAAAGTAAATTTGTTGGAAATTAAAGTGATTTTCTTCCAAACAACCCTCTAAATTAACAAGAAGGAAACTATTTGTCGAGAAAAGTAAAATGCAGAAAAATAAAAAAATTGGAAAAAATGGAAAAGTCTCCTCAAATGA